TCTTCTCTTCATTTTCCCATCGCCTTTCTCCTTGCCCCAAATCTTGGTGTAGTTCTATAAGTTCTGTTTTTTTAAGACCCTTGTGGGCAGACACTGTTAGCTGATACTATACTGAGTATTTACGGGCATGGAGTGTGGGTGGGCAAAGAAGAGAAGGTGTTTAAACAGGAAACGCGCCCTTCAGCGGGTCTGCAGAAATCAAGGGCATGTCTGTATCAGCACTGTCTTCTAGAGTAACAGTGAGCAGACTACATCCCGCGCCCCTAACCCCAGATATTTTTTTTATATAAGGGGCCAAGAACTCCAACACACAAATGCCACTTGGGTTCTGTTATCCTCCCTAGAACTGAGATTATTTAAAAGAAAAAAATAGTGCCCTCTTTACAGAGATATCATCCCATCAATAACCAGAATGGGTTTTCCATGTGTTAATATCCTTATCATCATTTAAATTTTAACATAAACTTTACATTATATACAATTTTATTTGGATAATACATGTACGTGTAAATTGTAGAAAACAAGCATATTATATACATGTGTACCCGAGCATTGATATTCACAGGATAAGTGCATTTGGACATCTCCGATCTCCATCAAGGGCCAAGCTGACCTCATCTGATACAATTAGATAGGAACAGAGAACAATGTAAAGGGGTTGAATGTGAAAGGGCAACTGCATACTGAGAGGACTTTTCAAGTCAAAACTCCAGGTGACCTTTCATTAAACAATTAGGACACTGTTTACCAAGAGAAGATGGGGTATCTGGAAAGGTCTTATTTTGTCTCAAGGGAAAATAAACACCGCTTTTGGAATGCAAATTGCCTTGACTCATATTAAATACCAACCACTGAGTTTAGCTTTCACCTATTAAGTTTGGGGAGTTTTTTTTGTTGATGGTGGTTTTCCCCTTGAAGTCCAATTATGTCTGTTCTAGCTGCGCTTAATACAAACAGGCTCCATTTCAGAAGCATGTTCCCCTTTGAAGAATTCATAAACAACACCTCTACACAAAAAAATAGTACAGGGTTTGCATAAAGTTAGCGGATATATTCAGCTCTTCTGAAAGATATTTAGGTTTCTCAACTTAGTATTTATTTAGGTCTTAAACCCCGCAAAGGATTTCAGTGCAAGGTATTGATTTATATGACAACTGATTATTAAGGCTGGACTTTTTTAGATTTAAAGGAGATAAATTTTTAATCACCATTTAATTAACACCAACTTTTTCTTTAATTTTTCACTAGCAATTCCTTTTGCAAAGAATTCAGGGCATTTGTCATTTCCTGAGAAAGAGGCAGAATATTAAATACACATCAGTGGTAGACATACCAAATAGAATAAACAATGTATGAACGCACGGCTGCCGTGAATCTTTTGATTAATTAACTGCCTTGGCTGGAGTCCCATTTAAGTGAAACTATTTCATTTGTAAACAAGGTGTAATTTTATTTTTTTCTCCCCTGAAAATAAGTGTGAATTGATTTGACTGAGTTTGCTGCAAAGGATGAATTTTAATTCTTTTGTCGGAAAACCTAAGTATAAACACTTCTTAGGCACCTTAATGAAACAGGGAAGAGAAACCAGGTACAGTCCATGAGACAGTGCTGGCTAAAAGAATGCAATGCAATTTGCAAAGGACACAAGCGTAATGAGTAGGATGATTGTAATTCCACACCTCTCATGGAAGCCTCACTGGCAGAAAAGCAGACCCATTGACATCTCGCCCTTCAGAGCACTAAAACCTGGGATGGCCTAGGAACCCGCAGATGTAAGGATAATGGAAACAATTTTCCAGAAACCCAAAGGTTGCCCAGAGTAGACCCTGCATCCCAGAAGACTCTCCTCTTTCACAGAACATTTTAAGTTGGTTGCACATGTGCACTATAACCTATCTGAGTCCTTCTCAAGTAATGAAAACCATTAAGAATTAATGTAGCATCATGACGGACACCAGTTTCGACTTTGAGTCAGATGAAACTCAGGCACACCTTTGAGGTCAGAGATCCTGGATCCTCAGCATCAACAAATCTAAGGACTCAGAGTTGAGATGTGTCTGAGGAATCTTCTGTAATGGACCCATGGTTCAGGGCATCCCCTGTAATTCTTATCACCTCCTGTTCTGTAGGTGTGATTTACCTCTGGACGTTAGACTCCTGCTACTCTTTCCCCAAAGAACTAAAAGACTTGGATGGCCTTCTAATAGCTCGACATCACTATCTTTCCATCAGAAAATGACCATCAATCAATGGTCGGTTGTCTTATGTTTGGGATCATCACTATTAGGTGTCAGTGAATCTGTGGAGGAAGGAAATGATGTACTTATTACATAGCATCCAACTCTAGCTATTTATTTTTTAAAAAACCCTTTCGCTATTAGAGGAAGGGTATACTTTTTTTCTTTTTTTTTGGCTGCATTGCTGTTGATTCTTCCCAAAGCCATATATTTAGTTTCTATACCCAGAGAGGTATGGGGTTAACAGCAGAACTAATGTTGTTATTAAAAGAAGGCTTTTTGATCTATGGGGTCATTCTGAGTGTAGTTCTCACTCTCCCTGGAGATCTCTGCCACCTTTGGCAGCTCCTTGGTTTTGAGGACACTAGAGAAAGACAGATAGCCTCTTTAGATTGGTGATGTACCATGGGCTCTCTTCTGGGAGACTTCAATTCATTTTGTGTTAAGACATGGCACTCTTGTGAGGAGATGGAGGTGATCCTGGCTGGGGGTGTACAGGTCTGAAAAGCACTGGAAGGGCAAAGGCGGGACATGGTAAAAGATGATACGATCAGAGGCGTGCATGAGAGTAGCGATTAGGGGGCTATTCCGGGCTCTTTAATCGAGGCTCCTCCACCGTTGGAGAAGCAAAGGTGCAACACCCAAGAAATAAAATGCAACATTCAAGTGCGTTCATCTTCGGTACCTTGTCAGCCCCTTCTGCCTGTCCACCTCAAAGACTCTCACTGGCTCCCTCTGCCGCTCTCCCACTGACCCTGGAACTTCTCATCAACCGCTGCTCATCATTATAGGAATGTGGTAGATCAGGTGCCCTATCTCAAAGATGGAGCCATTCAATGAATCCTCAAGCTCAAAGAGAATTATTCCCGGCACCTGCCCACTCACAGGAAATCACTGCCTACAAGACAGAACGGGGCAGGGCTCTAAGACCTGGGTTAACTTTTCAAGCCGTCATTCTGCCCCCTCCTCCAAGAGCCCAGGGCAAAATGCAGGAGGAGCCCGGAGAATGGTCCAGCTTGTTTGCATTAGCCTAGGGCTTCTGTAACAGGACACCAACACAGATCCAGGGACCGCGCAAGTCAGGTGGCTACTTAGCCCAAACATCTCAGGTATATTCATGTATTTAAAACACGCTAATTATTAGATTTGAACTGTATAAAATATGTAATGAGTATTGTCTGTGGTTTTTATCATGTTTAATTTTTAAACTGGAAAATTCTGTTCTGGTGAAGTGTTGTAAAGTAACAACTTGCCCGTCCTTTGCAGGGGCACGCTGAATGCATAAGATGCTGTGCTGAGAGCTGCTTATGTGTCAAGATTCCCCAGCCTTGCCCCACAGTGGACAAAAATGAGTATCATTTCCTATCACTTTTGCACAGGTTTGAGGCGAGTGAGAAGGGGATGACGGAAGTGACTCGGAAATGACAAATGCCTCGAGGAATTTTGCGAGTTCTGTTGGTGCTGGTAGGCAGCTGGCCTTCAGCAGAGCAACTGTTTCAGAAGAGAAGAATCATCCGTCCCACTAAAGATTATCCACAATTGGGAGGATGCTCAGGGTAGATACTTGAGTGTCTCTCCTGTTTTGAAGGCTGTTGATTTAAGGAGGTTGGAGCAGGGACATGTGTCCTGCCGAATTTCAGGACGGGTTGAGGAAGATCGCCCTGTGGCCACACTGGCCTTTAGCAAGACAGATGGCATTTTATTTCTTAGAGATCACGGCACACGCGTGGCCGCCGGCATGTGCCCCCACATTCACCATGCTGGGAACAGCAACGCACACTGAATTAAACGCCACGGCGACTCGGGGGACTGGACGAGTGATGGTTCCTGGAGGGAAGGGGAGAGTAACAGATACTATACAACCCTGAGTCATCACCAGAAGAGGGGGAAACGCAAACTTACGTACACAGGAGTCTCCGGGATCAACTACAAGGGCCGCTGCGTCATAGATGGAAGATCCACACTTACGGTATCGAAGACACACGTGTGTGAGTTTGGCAGCTCTGAGCAAGACCACCGAAGCCAAGGGTGAGAGCGTGTCTGTGAAATACACAAGTGGACATCCAAAGAGACTCTAGTCGCTCTCTGCGTGAGGGCCCTCCTGGGCCTGCCACTCCATGTGTCTTGGAAATGGACTATGAGGAAGCTAGCAGAGTGAACCACAAACACTCGGGTTTGCTATCCTTTGGGGGAGCCGGGAGTTCTGGGGTTGGGCCAGGGCCATCATGGGAGGCAGAACAATAAAGCTGAACCACTTAGAAAGCCCAACTTCCTAATCTCTGGCACACTCCGTCTCGCTACAGTGCGGATGCATTCTTGTTTTATTTTGTGTCAGGTTTACATGCATACCATATTGCTTATTCTGTATCAGAGAAACTGTGAGGCATTTCTGATGAGGGAATTACAGGGTGGGCTGGTCTTAACGGGATTTGGAATACAGGAACTCGCCATATGACCACTGGCATCTGATGTGTCGTTATTGCGACATATCTGGTGGGCACGTCCAGGAGACTCGCCCAGGTGTGGACTGGTTTTTGGTTAAGGACTCACCTATCTGGGCTCTCGCGTGCTCAGCACACACCTCACAAGATTCCTTGAGTGGAAGACTACGGCTTGGAGCCATGTGCAAAAGAATCAACTGAAAAATACCTTCCTAAATCCTCGTCCTCTGGTCGGGGCACTATTGGGGCATCCACCATTTACCCGTCTGGAACGCTGGCCATTAGGCATGTTTCCCTATAGATAAAACATTAATGGAAGGTTTTAAACATCAGATTCGATACTAGGCATTTTCTTGTACACACGTCTATTGCTGCAGGAATTTAAAACCCTGGGGGCAGAGTACATATTATTCTTATTTGCAGCATAAGGCATAACATGCTCTGAAATATACACGTCGCTGTGGCCTCTACTGTCCCTGGAACAGTATGACGCCGTCGACCTCAAGGACGAGCGGAGATAGCTGTCGTTCCCGGCCTGGGACGGCAGCGAGTGTTTGTAAGGGTCCGAGGGGCACCTCCCGATCACTAAGCGTTGGTCATCCCCGTAGGAGTGAAGGAAAGGGTTCTCGGAGGTGTGGTCCGGCAAGAGGGACTTGCTCCGCTTGCCGACCTCCAGGCCCTGGGGGAAAAGGGAACCCTTGTTCCCCGCGAGTTTGCTGGAGGGGACGCTAAAGAGACTCCCGTACAGGTTTCCCTCCAGGAGCCGTTCGCGGTCCTTGAGGCTGATGCTCCGGGAGGGCCTGCTAAGGTCCACCTCCCTGGGTTTGTCGAGGATGTTGTCGTACGAGTGCTGCCGGCTGATCCTCAGCTTGTTCTTTTGGAGCTGGAGGGCGCTGTTCGGGGCCCAGTCCTGCTGGTAGACCTCCTCCTGGGCGGCGGGGTTCCCCGTCTCCTGAAGCATCTGGTCCTCGTCGATGTCGTAGAGGTTCCCCATCCGCAGGCAGGCGTCGCACTTGAAGGGGGACCGCATGGTGAAGTGGCCCGCGTAGGTGGGCAGGTTGGACAGGCAGCTCCGGCAGTGCGTGGAGTTCTGGCGGTACCGGTCACTGCCCTCGCTGTGCGGGGAGCTCTTGTCTTTCAGGCTGAAGTGCTTGGAGTAGAGTTTGTACGGCTCATTGTTGGGGAGCACGTCCTCCTCGTGCAGGGCATTCCGGTTGAGGGGCAGCGTGGAGTCCCCCTTGCGGAAGCTCTCCCCGCGCTCCTGGTAGGTGTCGGGGAAGTCCACGTTCTCGGGGAGGGCCATGCTTTCCGCAAATGGGGGTGGGTCGAGGTGGAAACTGGGCTCCTTCTCGCCATCGATGGTGTAGATCTTGTCCCTGGGGGAGCTTGCCTTGGTTTTCAGGTAGGAGCGCTCCGCCTCGCTGCAGTCCTTGGGGTACTTGGAGGCCATGGACCTCTTGAAGTTGTCCTTGGCCTTGTGGTTCTTATTGTTGTCAGGCTCCCGGTGGCACGCGGCCCGGCTCGACGTTTCAGAGACGTCCGAGTGGGCCACCTCTTCAGGAAGGTACCGAGGACTCTTCAGGGAGTGGGTCCTGTTCTCCACGGGCCCCTCGTCCCTCTGGGAGATGGGGTTCTGGGTCAGGGAGTCTTGGCGGAGCGACTCCATCGATTTCTTCCAAAGCTGCCGAGGACGGGAATTCCCTTTGGACTCTGTGCTGACGGCCACCTCCACTGTGTTGGGGTTGGACTCGTTGAGAGTCAGAGGATGCTGGCCCTGGAACACATAGTTGTTGAGGTTATCCTTGTGCCTGTTGGCCACGAAGGTCTGGAGTTCATTCATGTTGTCCCCGAAGATGCTGTCTTTCCCCTGGAAGGACCGGTTGTCTGAGTAGACCAGGTTGCCCTTATCTGAAACCATGTCCATGATGAGGGAGCCTCGCTGGATGAAGTCCGCAGCTCTCTTGGGGGAATCCATCCTTGAGGAGTTCATGTTGGACAAGTTGGAGATGTTTTTGGCGGATCGAAGGAGTTTTAACATGTTGCTCTGGGATCCAGTCAGGTTGAAGTCCGGAGACTTCTTCTTCTCTTCAATGTGCACTCCATGAATGCAGCTGTAGATGCCCTGTGGGGAGGGACAGAAACACCATCAGTGGTATCGGGGATATGAAACTATGTCACTCCTGAATTCTCTCTGCAAAGCGGAGAAATAGGCACCCCGGAGAAACAGTGAGATGCAGTCTGAATCCTGGTAACGTTTCTTAAGTATATGAGACCAGTGGCAGAGCATCAGGCTTCCCTTGTCTCTCTGGTTTGATTATCTGATTTACTTAGATTATCAAGATTATCTGACACGTTTGCCAATAGTCATACATGGAATTTGAGGAAAAAATATATCCTCTAATCCTCATACAACTGGGCTTCCCAGGTGGCGCAGTAGTAAGAATCTGCCTGCAATGCAGGAGATGTAGGTTTAATCCCTGGGTTGGGAAGATCCCCTGGAGTAGGAAATGGCAACCCACTCCAGGATTCTTGACTGAGAAATCCCATGGACAGAAGAGTCTGGGGGGCTAGAATCCATAGGGTCACAAAGAGTCAGACACGACTTAGCAACTGAACAACAATAGCAACCTAAACGGAACAATCAGGTCCAGGCTTCTGGGTCTGACCTGGTTCTCCAAGGACTGACAGGGGTCTGGCCCAAGAAGGGGGTTGTGAAAGGGATGCAGAAGCTGCCGCTGACTCTGGGGTAAACTCGTGGGAAGGATGTGTGAGAAGTGTAGACTCTGATGACAGCAGCCCCATTGATCCCCATGGTAGGGATGCTCAGGACCCACAGGGATGCTCATGTAACTGTGACAGCCACCACTGTTTGCCCTCCTGTATCTTTCTTGTCTTCTAGAGACAGTCTCCACTGCGTCAAGGAAGAGTAAGCAGCAAAGCCTACAGTTGTGTGCTTGAGCATCTCTTCCTCCGACGTCTCCACCCCAGGCTTCATGATGAAGGCTGCCCGGGACAAGGCGACGGCCCTCCTCGCCTTCCTGCAGTCTTTCCTCTCATCTCCTTCTCAAGGCCCTGAGTGGTCTCTTCCCCTGTTCCCTGCCAGGAAGCAGCGTCTCCTTTTCGCTTCTGAGGCTGCTGGATGTCAAACTGTACAAATGTGTATTTCACACAGAGCAGGGCTCTTGAATCTTTTATGCTAACTTAAGCTTTCCCTGACCAATTCGGTGATGTAATCGTCTCCTTCGCTAACCTAGAGGGACTCTGCTATATTGGGTGAAGATCAGCGTGTCTCCTACGTATCTGAATCAGCCAAGATCAGAGCCTTTTCTTCCTGTTGTTAGCACTGTGAGAACATTAGCTTTTACATGTTTTTCTAACTTTGCAATTTTATTTTAATGAGCTTCTGTCTTCCTTTTAGAGATTTTTGAGAACTCGCCTCCAACCTCCCCCATCAGAGTGGTGTGCTCCCACATGCCGAGACGAGCTCGTTGTCTCGTATTTGCAGGAGGCCCTTAGAAGCGGCCAGGGAGCTGAGTTATGTTTCAAGAGCTGGGAGGATGGCGGCCGACTGCTTTTTCTCATCCCTGGTTCCCCCTGGGGCTCACATGACACAGCTAAGGCAGTTCCCAGGTGCAGATCTGCCTGGCAAAGCCTCGGGAAGGAGTCAACATGATGGACCTGGCCTGTACCCCAGGTTGGGTTGGCGGGGGTTCTCCAACTGAGTTGACCCATCTTCCAGATGGGCTGATGGGGAGCAGGGAGTATGTATTACAGAAGGGAAGGAAGAGTCAGAGGCCAGAAGCCCACTGGAAACGAGATCCAGCATCATCCATTATTAGCTCTGTGACCTTGGCTAAGTCACTACATCTTTTTGAGCCTCAAGTTCCACATCTGTAAAATGGGAATCATACACTCTAAGGCGGATGTCAGGGCAACATCTGACAATGCAAGCAGAGCACCTCACATGGACAGGGCTCCGTGAATGTGAGTGGGTGAGCTGCTCCATCATCCCTACTGTCACCCCTCCCCTCTGTCCTCTCACACAGCGGCCCCGTGATCAGAGCCGCAGGAAATAGGTGCTAGCCTTCACTACTGCACATTAGCTCCGGAAAGCCACCATGGCTTTCTGATCCCATATGCTGCCCAAACCCTACCTTGGAAGGCCAATCCCTGGGCTGGGGTTTCTTTCTTCCCTGCAGAGGTCCTCCTTTCCTCCTCTCTATTATTCACAGACTCTGGCTACCTTTTATGGATTGTGTACGTGATATGCCCTCTCGGCCCCACGAAGGGTTCAGATGAAGGGAGCACTGCAGACTCACCATGCTTTCCCAGACAACTGGCTCCGTCCATCCTCCAACTCCCAGAGGACCCTGACCTCTCAGAACACTCTCAGTGGGGCCTGAGCACGACTGTCCTCCAAGGTTCCTTGGCACCTGGGCCTGATGCCTAAAGTGTCCGGTATCCTCTGCTTATTTGTGTCCCCCTAGCCTTCTAATTCATGTATTGAGATCCCAGCTCCCAAAGGTGATGTATTAATAGTAGGTGGGTGCTTAGGTCATGTGGTCCAAGGTGGGGCTTTTGGCAGGAGCACTTCCTATATAAAAGAGACCCACAGAGCCCTTTCATTTCTTCAGCACAAGGGGACATCTGCAACTCAGAAGAGGCCCTCACCCCACCATGCTGACACCCTCATCTCAGATTTCCAGCTTCCAGAACTGTGAGTGTCACGTTTTTATTGTTGATGAAGCACCCAGCAAGTGGTAATTTGTTAGAGCAGCCGGAATGGCCCAAGACGATTGTTATTTGCTAAGTCGTGTCTGATTCTTTTGCGACCCCATGAACTGTAGCCCCATGAAGTTCCTCTGCCCATGGAATTCTCCAGAATACTGCAGTGAGTTGCCATTTCCTCCTCCAGGGCATCTTCCCGACCTAGGGATTGAACCTGCGTCTCCTGAACCTCCTGAATTGGCAGATGGATTCTTTACCACTGCGCCACCTGGGATACCCCGGCTAAGATGGTATGTGACTTCTATTCTGCCGTCCCCATTGCAGGCCAGCCAGAAGGTGCCTCAAGCTCTCCTCTGAGCTCTCTGGAAGGATGTCATGATTTCTACCTCCTTGGTCTCTGGCTTTGCTATGTCTCCCATTCCTCACATCTTAGGAGACAACCGAAGCGGTTCTCTTTGCTGATGACAGTGAATTTTTTTTTTATAATGAAAGGGACAGCGTTTTGGAGAGGAAACAAAAGTTAAAAGCATCCCACAGAAGAGAGGATGCCTTTTTTGTAAGTCGTAATGGACAAAAGTCACAGCTATGGGAAAAGCTTGGTTCTAATGTAAAATAAACGACTCTCTGAGTTTTGGCTTTTGCCCTTGACCACTGCAAAAGGGCAGGCACCTCAGGTTGGTGTCCCGTGGGACATGGGGTCCTCTCTCCACTAGGGAGGGGAATATGGAAGTTCAGGTCCTGGCTTGTCAAGGACACAACACGGCAATGCTACACTCAGTTCGCCCTTCACGCCTGGCCCTCAAGAGGCTTGGAACAGGAGTGAGGGGTTTAGTTCATTTCTCAGAATAACAATCCTCACTTGGCTTACTTAATGGTATCTCAGACAGAAGGAGCGCTCTTTCAAAAACAAGCAGGATTTACAAGTAAAGGCAATTGTGTGCATTTGATCATGGCAATCCCAGAATCACTTGGATATGGAACGCCTTCAGTAACTGGCGGAGAGAATTAGCTTAAAGTTGGCTTAATACCTAGCTACATGCATGCACGTTGTTATTTTTAAGCAATCTGTGTGTTTAGATGCCATCAAGCTAATTAGGAAATATGTATTTGCATAGAACTCAAGTTTAGTTGCCACTGAATGGAGAAAATAAATTCTCCTGACTAAGCTTGTGTGTACCTTCTGGATCTCTTAAAACCACCAAACCCCAAGAACACACAAATTCCTCTTTAAATGATTATTTTGTTTTCCCAATAAACATTAGCATCTAAAACAAGATGCTTCTAACTACATATTTTTCACCATGTTTCAAACCTTAATTTGTTAAATTCTTTCAGAGTAAAACAAATTCCAAAGGCAAGTAAATGGGCGAAATAGATAGATAAATAGATGGATGGATAGATGGATAAATGAACGGATGGATGGATGGATGGGTGGGTGAATGGGTGGATAGGTAGATGACATTGATTATCAGGTAGATAGATAATATTATACTGCGTTTGAAGATCAGTGAACAATATGTATGTATGTAAAGTGAAAGTGTTAGCATCAGTTGTGTCTGACTCTGCAATCCCATGAACGGTAGCCCACCAGGCTCCTCTGTCCATAGAATTCTCCAGGCAAGAATACTGGAGTGGGTTGCCATTTCCTTCTCCAGGGGATCTTCCTGACCCGAGGATTGAACCTGGGTCTCCTACATGGCAGGCAGGTTCTTTACCATCTGAGCCACCAGGGAAGCCCATATACTGTGTTGGAAGATCAGTGAACAATATGTATGTATGTCTGTGCTTTTATTTGATCCAAGTAAGTGACTAGTTTGTGTTGAACTTGTAAACATCATTCAGTTGTGTGCATATATATGTGTATAGTATGATTTGAACCAAATCTCTTATTTCACTTGTATATGATGTCTGTTGCTTGTGTAAGACTGTGGGCTCAGGTTGTTACTACACCACTTAGAGTCCAGATCCTGGCTCCAGCAAGGGGCTGAGCGGGGTTGGGTGATCCCTCTAACCTTGTAACTGTGAGTTTCCCCAACTCTAGGACCATATCAGTACCGATCTCATAGAAGTGGTTTGTAGGCTAAATGAGATGAAGAGTATAAAGTCCTTAGATGGTGCCTGGGAAATAAATGTGTCCCACAGCTAGAAGCACCTTCCATGGCTGTCATTGTGATTAACGCATCTCCCCATGTGCACCTGTATGGCCACACACATGTGCCATGTTGTGCAGCATGAAAGGAGATTTCCGTGGCTTGCATGTGACTGCCCTGACCATGGCATGTGCACTCCATGCTGCTGTCTGTGTCAGGCTGAACGTGTATTTTGTTTCCTGTGTGAAGCGTGTGCATTTTCTCGTGGTTCTTCAAGCCTCTATTTCATTTCGGGCTCTGTTGCATCATACACATTCTTGTGGCTTGTTATCTGGGTATACACATGGCTTTACATGGTGATTCTGTTTTGCAAGAATGGGACCTCTTGGAAGCATGCAAACATTGTAGCATCCCGCACAGGAGTTTTAATAACGTCCTAGAGCATATCTGGGTGCTTGTCAGGGAGGCCGCAGACTGGCTGTGCTTACCCCATGTGTTTTGGTGTTTTTCCGCTTTTCAATGGAATTAGTTACTAACATTTTAAAAATTGAGGGAGGTCCCTGGTGGTCCAGTGGTTGATTCCCCACTTCCGTGGCAGGGGGTGCAGGTTTGATCCCTGATTGGGGAACTAAGATCCTGCCTGCCTCACAGCACAACCAAAAAAATTTAAAATAAAAATTGAAAGTTTCCCTGTATAACCAGATGGCCATTTTCCCCTATAAAAACTGAATATTGGCCTTGCCTTCCACCAAGACCATCCTCAGCAAGAGTAGAGAATGGTCATAGCCTCTGGGTTTGATGTCATATTTTAGCACAGTCTCCATTGCTCTCTCCCCTTGACACCCAGGTCCAGCTGCTATTTTTCATTCCATTTGTTTCATTTTTCTCAGGCCTGGCCTGCCTTATTTGTTCACCTTCCATTTCTGGCTTGCACAGCCTTCTGGCTCATGAGCACAGAACCTGGGGCCCTTTAAACACATCCGAGAAGGGTTGGTGAGTGAGGAGAGGGTGTGCAGACCCCCCACCCCCTGCCCAAGGGTCCCAAAGCACGCTGGGAGCCCCAGTGCTCTTCTGGAGCTGCCTGCTGCAGAGGGAAGTAGCGGTCGGGGATACTGACCCTGCTGATGGAGAAGAGCAGGCCCGGCCGGTCGGAGCAGACGCCCGTGAAGCAGAAGCGCAGCTTCCAGTAGAAGAGATGCTCCCAGATGAAGGTGATGAGGCTGAGCGCCATGGCGGCCGCCAGCATGTAGAACACGCCCGCCATGTTGTCGATGTCCAGCTGGCTGCTCATCACCTCGTTCTTCTCGTTGTGGCAGATCCCCGTGAGCCACAGCGTCTCCAGCTCCTCCATCTCCCCTGGACGGAAGACAAGAGCCACAGGAGGTGAGGAGCAGGGCCCGCGCCGTGGGGCGGACGGCCCTGCGCTTGGGGCAGACACGTGTGACTTAGAGCTGCGCAACCTCAAGGGGAGGGACTGAGCTCTGCATTCACTCCCTGGTCAGCGGAAGATAACGATGGCAACACCTACGTAGCATCTTTGTAGGAGGATGAAATGAGATCCGGTCTAGGGAGAATTTGGCGCAGTCCCTGAATCTCTCTCTTTTTGGTCATTATTATAATGTTCTTCCCATCCTGCTTTGGGCTTTCCTGCTGGCTCAGACAGTAAAGAATCTGCCTGCGATGCAGGAGACCTGGGTTCAATCCCTGGATTGGGACGATCCCTTGGAGGAGGGCACGGCAACCCATTCCAGTATTCTTGTCTGGAGAATCCCATGTACTGAGGAGCCTGGTGGGCTACAGTCCATGGGGTTGCAAAGAGTCGGACACGGCTGAGTGACTAAGCACACAGCACCCTGCTTTTCTGTATCCCCACCCCCAACATCCACCCAAGCCTAGAACAGGACATGGGATAAGCTGACAGTAGACTGCAGTGGGAAGACTTGCATTCCTGTTATGACTTCCTCACTGACTAGCTGTGTTACTTAAGAGCCACAGTGATCCTGTCCACGAAATGGGTAGAATAATAGTGCATACTCCCTCCAGTTCTAGGGAAGATCAAAGGAGCTCACATATGCAAAATTCCTACATGTAGGTAAGTTCTCCTAAATAGCAGCCTGCAAGGGTTGTTGTCCAGGAAGCACCCAGCACGAGCCTGGTACACGTTTGTACAGAAGTATACATTAGTCATTTCTTTGTTTAGAACATCAAAGATTATTCCAAAAAGTCACCTCAAGCAATGCACTTAGGGAACAAAGTGTTTCTTGCAAAGAAAACAACTCAATCGCTTCTAAATGGCCCCTTGCAAACTAAATACTTCCCCACTTCGGCAGGCAACTAAAGAAGCAGGTGGGATTTTCAATGGAAAAAAAAAAAAAGCATCATTTTGTCTCTCTTTTATGTGTATTTGATCCAGTTGCCATTTAGGAGGAAATTCTCTGGTCTAAATGTCTAGTAATTATACTAACTGTCCAGCAATTCACTAAACCATGGTGCTTTGACTATCATTCGGGCCTTTAAGAGTTATCCTTCAAAAACAGTGAAAATCAAAAAAGATGCCTAGAATGTTAAATGAAGAGTACAACTATATTGCATATACATGTGATCTCTAAGATATAAAAGATAGAAGTATAGGATTAAGAAATACAAATGACTATGTATAAAATATGTCAACAACAAGCATATATTATACAGCACAGGGGAATGTAGCCATTATTTTGTAATAACTTTAAGTGGAGTATAATCTATAAAAATATTGAATTGCTGTATTGCACACTTTAATATACTGTTGTAAATCAACTATACTTCAATTAAAAAAAACACTTGCAGAGAAACATAAAGAAATGGTCAAAATGTCTGATTTTCTTTGAAGAGATTAATCATAATTATTGCCTTCACATTGCTCTCTTTAAGTTTTATGAAATGTGTGTATATCACTTTCTGTTTGTTCTCACTCTTGAAACACTTGTCTGAACATGGAAACCGGAGGTGCCACTTATTTTTCTTAGACCTTTTGGAGATGTTATTAAGTGTCCTTCTGACCTAGATTGTAATTGTGGAGAGGTCAGCTCATCATGTATTTATCATTACTTTCTATGCAATCTATATTTTCTCTCTAATTGCTTTTGAGAATTTCATTCTGCCTTTGTGTGGAATCTAGGTGTGGATATGTTTTATTTGTTCTGCTCTGGACTCTGTGATTCTTCAATCTGATGACTCATAACTTTCATTTTGGAAGCATTTCACCCATCATTGCTTTGATTATTAACTCTCCCCATCTTTTTAAAAATTAACAGACTTTATTTTTTAGAATAGTTTTAAATTTAGAGAAAAACTGAGCAGAAAAGTGGAATCCCCACACAGTCCCTCTTCCCATTCCTCTTGGTTTCCCCTATTAACATCTGGCATTGATGTGGTATATTTTTATAACTTATGAGCCAAATACATGATCATGAACTAAAGTCCAGAGTTTATATTGACTACCCTGGTAGCTCAGCTGGTAAAGAATCCGCCTACAATTCAAGAGACCCCAGTTCAATTCCTGGGTTGGGAAGATCCCCTGGAGAAGCGAAAGGCTACCCACTCCAGTATTCTTGGGCTTCCCTGGTAGCTCAGCTGGTAAAGAATCCACCTGCAATGTGGGAGACCTGGGTTCGATTCCTGGGTTGGGAAGATCCCCAGGAGAAGGGAACAGGTACCCACTCCAGTATTCTGGCCTAAAGAACTCCATGGACTATTCCATAGGGTCACAAAGGGTCGGACACTACTGAGTGACTTTCTCTTCATATAGTTTATATTAGGGTTCAATCTTTGTGCTGTACAATTCTCTGGGTTTTGCCAACACTTAACATCATGCATCTACCAAGACAGTATCATACAGAATAGTCCCACTGCTTTAAACATCCTCTGTGATCCAACTGTTCATCCCCCATCATCCCTCATTCCACCTCCTGGCAACCAGTGATCTTCTGTCTCTGTAGTTTCGCCTTTTCCAGAACATCATATAGTTGGAACCATATACTGTGTAGCCTTTTCAGACAAGCGTCTTTCTCTTAACAAGATGCATTTAAGATTCCTCTATATCTTTCCCTGGCTTTATAGACCTTTCGTTTTTATCTCTAAACCATATTCTACTGCATGGACATATAGTTTGTTTATCCATTCAATGACTGAAGGATATGGGGCTTCCCAGGTGGCTCAGTGGTTAAAGAATCCACCTGCAATGCAGGAGACCCAGGAGATGCCAGTTCCATCCCTAGGTGAGGAAGGTCCCCTGGAGAAGGGAATGGCAACCCACTCTAGTATTCTTGCCTGGGAAATCTCATGAACAGAGGAGCCTGGTGGGCTACAGTCCATGGGGTCGCAAAGAGTTGGATTTAACTGAAGCAACTGAGTACGCATGCATGCACTGAAAGATGTCTTGGTTGTTCCCAAGTTTGGACATTTATGAAAGAAACACAAACATTCATGGTTAAGTTTCTATGAGGATATAAGTTTTCAACTCATTTGGGTAAATACCTAAGGGCATTATCAGTGACTATATTGTAAGACTATATCTAGCTTTCTTGGAATCTGCCAAACAGTCTTTCAAAATGACTGTACCATTTCACACTCCCACCAGCAATGAATGAGGCTCCTTTCATATAACACATCCTCACCAGCACTGATATAATTTTGGATTTTGACCATTCCAATAAGGTGTATATCACATTGTTTTAATTTGCAAATCTTTAACATGATAATCTTATCTTCAGAAAATTTTGTTTAAAATACTCTAGATGGGGACTTCCCTGGTGGTCCTGTGTTTGGGATTCCTGTGCTGCTCCCAATGCAGAGGACATGGGTTCGATCCCTGGTCAGGGAACTAAGATCCTACATGCCACATGGCTCCTTAAAAAAATCCTAATAAGCTACTTTTAAATTGTTTAAAAATATTCTAGACGTTCTCATTCTATCCTCTAGGTTATTAACTTTGTTTTCATGTTTTCCATTCCTTCATTGTTCTGTCTTGCATTTATCTGATTCCCACAGATCTATTTTCCAGTTCATTTATTCCTTCATTGGTAATATTTGACTTTATGTTTTAATTTTTAATCTATTTTAATTGTGACATTCATTTGGTTCTTTTAAAATTCTGCCTGTTCATTTGTCATAATGTCCTACTCTTCAGTTATGGCTATACATTTTGTAATTTCAAACTTACAGTGTTTCAGATTATTCTCAGCCCCTGCCATCTGCGTTCTCAGGGTTCTGTTCTGTTTGCCATGCGTGCTGACTCTCATGGTGGATTACTTCCTTGTGGCATTTGTAACTTTTGATTATGAGCGCATCTTCAGCAGAGCTGTTCTCCCCCTAAACCCCATGGGCTCCCAAGCAACCTGGGTTACAGACCAGGCCTTACAGAGGGGCTCTGGGTCTGCTCCTGCCATGGTTCCAGGGCTTCGGATATACCAGTTTTTAATTTTTCCTGGAGTATAGTTGCTCTTCAATGATGTGTTTGTTTCTGCTGTGCGGCAGCGTGAATCAGCCGCACATATACATATATCCCCTCTTCCTTAGATTTCCTTCCCACTGAGGTCATCACAGAGCGTTGAGTAGAATTCCCTAAGCTATACAGTAGGCTCTCATTAGTTCTCTATTTTCCTGATGCTGGGAAGCATTGAGGGCAGAAGGAGAAGGGGGTAACAGAGGATGGTTGGATGGCATCATTGACTCAATGGACATGAGTTTGGGCAAACTCTGGGAAATAGTGAAGGACAGGGAAGCCAGCCATGTTACAGACCATGGGGTCGCAAAGAGTTGGACAGGACTTAGCAACTGAACAATAACAGTACATAGTATCGATAGTGTATACCTGTCAATCCCATTAGTATCAATAGTATATACATGTCAATCCCGATCTCCCAAGTCATCCACCCTCCTGTTTCCCTGCTTGGTGTTCATACGTTTGCTCTCTACACCTTTGTGTGAAATAAATCTGACCATAATTACTCCACCATGTAACATACATTTAAACCTCCATCCTAATTTGAGTTTTAATCTCTCAGCTTCAAACAGATGTTGAGCTCCTCGTACTTCCTTTGCTATGATGGACTGTTTTTTCTACTCTCCTTTTCACAGATTCATTGACAGTCTCAGATTGAAGCCATGGTATCATCTCCTTGCACAGTTCAGGGCCCCCCTGCGGATGGTACAGCCCCAGGTCCCATCCCTCTTGCCTGTCTCCCTGTTGGCACCACAGCTGAAACACACCATGAGATTCCCCTTCCCCTCTGTTTCTGCCACCGAAGGATTTCTCTTCCTTTTGGCCTTGGCTGTGCGTTATGGGCTTGCATATGTGTATGTGTGCACATGCCTAT